TGTAGGAAGTACTAAGAACCTTGCCAAGTTCATCTATCATTAAACAAATATTTACTGGGGGTCCTACTACTTGCCAGGCACATAGCAGAGTGAGGGTGTCCGCAGCTGGGACTGTGTTTCACCAGAGGGATCCTTCATAAACGGCCTGTCACAGGCCCTGCTTGCTAGCTTAGCTTTAAAGCTTGCTTACAGGAGAGTGAAAGTGCACTTGTTAATCACGGTAGCCGAGGCTGGCATCTGATTTAGGAAAAATCTAGGTCAGAGTCAATTATGCTTTAGAGGATGTCCCTGTGCATGCTGAAAAAACATTAAAAAGCTTAGAAAAGATGAGGGTGTCAGATAATACCTTACAACGCATGTCTACTAAGCATTAACTTTCTATGTGCCAAACATTCTTCTAAGTACTTTACCTGTACTACAGCAACTCATTTATCTTCCACAGTAACTCTGTGAGAAAGACGCTGCTATTGCCCTCATTTTACAGACTGGGAAATTAAGGTACAGAGAGAGCAGATGGCTTGCCCAGAGGCACACAGCAGGTAAGTAGTTGGATAACCAGGGTTTGAACTCTAGAACTTCAGTTCTAACCACTTCGCTTTTGGGGCGGGCGGAGACTATGAAATATTCCTTTGCTCCAAAATACTTCTGTTGAAATTCTCCCATTAATAAAAGTGCCTTAAAACTTTATAGCTGGAAGAGTCTTCAGTATTCAGTTGGTTCAATTTTTATCCAAAAGGACAGCATCCTACACAGTAGGCTCGAACACATCTAGGGCCAAGGAATTCACTGCAGCCAGAGCAGTAACCAGCTGGCAGTTCTAATTGCTAATAAAAACAGAAATATGTTGGTTGCCTTCCATGTGCCAGGTGCTTTACTAGAGGATGTAAGAGAAATTCTTTCATAGGTTGAGGTCAAGCCTGCCTCTCCTTGACTTCCTCTGTGGGCTCTATGCCCTGCTGTTTTGAACATCATGGAATATATCTATGGTTCCTTGTATCTCCTGCCAGCCCTTCATATATTTGGAGACTGTTATGAGTTCTCTTTAAATTTTCTTATTCCCTATTTGTTCAATCTCTTGTCATATGATAATCTCTAGATTGAGATTCATCTTTCTTATTCGCAAGCCTCTGTTTTAAAACACAAAATGTGGGAGGGCAGCTTATTAAGCATAATTTGATGATTCCCTTCCATGATCTGTCCTGAGGGAAGGGAGTTTCGATTTGGGAAGGGTGTGGGGAGGTGCTGAGAACGGAGGCAGCTGGGAGCATGGTCAAGTGCCAACCCCAGGCTCGGAGAGGATGTTGATGTAGGAGTTCTGGGTAGACAAAAAGCAGCACAGGGATCCCGAGGTCCTGGAGCCTGCGGAAGAGGACGTGCTAAGAGTTTAAAAATAGCAATAATGATGAACATCTGTGGAGCACTGACTATACACAAGCTGGGCAGTTTGCTTGAGCCACGTGGCGTAATCTTCACAAGAGTTATAAGGCCCGTACATTGTTAGGCACATCTTACAGATGGAGTAAACTGAGGGGCAGGGAGGTGAAATAGGTTGTGTAGAAAATGGCAGTCAGGCTTTGAGCCCAGGCTTTTCCTTAACTATTTCGCTGAAAAGAAGATGGGAAACTAAATTTGCCTTTTATCCTGGAGCCAATTAGTAATATTCTAAGCAGACCTAAGTGCCCAGACTCCTCCACCCTTCATGAGTACTGATATAGTCAAAGAACAACTCCCTAAAGCGACTCTTACACTAGGTTTTTGTCCCTAAGTATCTGAGAGCCCATGGAATACTTCCAGGCTCCGTGAAGGGCTCCCAGATGTTTCTGGCTGTCTCACACAGCTTGCCTCACCATTCTTGTACTGCAGACCCCCACAGGGCAGTTAAGAGCAGACTAACCTAGTTTTGTTTGTTTTTTGGTTTTGTGACAGGGTCTCACTCTGCAGCCCAGGCTGACCTCAAACTATGGCAGCCTTCCTGCCTCAGCCTCCTGAGCGCTAGATTACAGGTATATGCTGACACGGCTCAAGTCCAGACTAAAATGTTTCATGAGACTTTACTGCAGGCTCAGGGCTAACATAATGGAATTATGATGCAGGAAAACTCTGACCCCGAACAAACCCACCTATTCTCGGAACTGCTGGCCAAGCCTTACCCTAGGGTCTCCCACTGAGCAAATCTTAGGTGCAACTTCCAGCAGGGGGCAGGGACCAGTTTACCCCCACTCCACACAGTAGGCCAGGGGTACCTGTGAGCTACCACTTCCTCCTAGAAAAGTGTGTTTCAACAACCTGACCCTGTTTGCAGAGAAGCAGTGCACCCAAGCGGACGTTATGGGAGAAGATTAGCTTGTTAGCCCCTCGAATCTGGCCATTTCTGAATAGGAACTTGACTTTACCATTGTGTAACCAAAAGGCGCATTAATGAAAGCTTGCTTTTATTTTTATCCAGAATAATGGAGCACTCAGTGACGCTCTTGTTCTGTACAGAAACTGAAAATTACATGTCAATTCTCGGCCAGCACCTCAGTACACAAATCACACTTAAAATATTATCTTAAAAAAAAACCAAACTAATAGCTCGTACAGAGGATGCACGTAGGCATATTCTTGCTCATATAGAACCTTAACTCACAGTGTGTAAGACCTGGCCTTAACGCTCACAAGCATGTTTCTTAAATTTCATTTATTATTTGAGGTCTCCTTCTGAAGGCTGTTGATTACAACTGAGAATTAGTCTTACTGTAGGGATCTTTCGAAGTCCCTAAAAATCCAACATGTTAGGTTTTTAAATTTCATTTATTATTTGAGGTCTCCTTGTGAAGGCTGTTGATTACAACTGAGAATTAGTCTTACTGTAGGGATCTTTCGAAGTCCATAAAAATCCAACATGTTAGGTCTGCGACCATAAATTGATAATTTAAAGTTACATTGAAAATTGGCTCTCATGATGAGTGGAATTTTAAAAACACACACACACAACTTTGGACTTATGTGAATGCAACTTTGACACTGATCAGTATTTCCAGTCTCTCTCTGGCAGAAGTGAGCTGGAGATTCACAGAACCCAGACACCAGAGGGACCTGCAAGAGGGGAAATGAAGGCGCGGTTTCGGTGCCTGGCTTCAAAGGCTGGCGGCCGTCACGAGCCTAACCCATTTCTTTCCAGCTAGACTAACTTTCTGTAAAGACAGAAAAACCGCAAACAGCCAAATTCAAACTTCCCCCGCATAATTTTTTAATTTAACAATGTTCTGGTTTCCAAGCTATCGTCATCTAATCTTTGTAATTACGCCGAAGAAGCAAGCACAGTCAGGGTGAAGGAAGGGCTAGGTTAGCAGAGCTCAGGCTTCCCAACTCAGGCGCTATGTTTTCTTCCTTTTTGCTGAAGTTCCAGCTCCTGATGCCGTTCTGTTTATTCATTCCATTATAGATAGAAACAGAAATGAACAAACTAAAGATTTCTTTCCTTCTAATAAATCATTCAGTAACTGGAACTGAATAATCTCCTATCTTGATAGTTAGTTGCATATATGAGCTATGCTGTGTAAAATCAAGAGTTTTCATGTTTCTTAGATCTTCCTGATAACAGATCTCCTTCCCTGTGTGCCTGGCCAAGGGCACAGGCTTAGTAACTTCTCTCAGCTGCCTCATACACATCTACATCAGAAACAGACATTCCACCCCCGGGCAGTGATCAAACTATTTCACTGGGGCAGATGGTGTTAAAAAATAAATAAAACCACAACAGAAATTTTCTAGACAGATTTTGATTCTAAACTTTATCTTAAGGATCTGTTAACCTTACTTAGTTAAATTTATGACAACTGCAAATACAGATTGAGTCAAATTCATCATTTATTCACAAAATGGACCGGGCCTGTTTGCACATGCCTGTAGTCACAGCCTTCAGGGGGCTGAGACAGGAGGAGGATCCTGAATTCAAGGTCAGTTTAGGCTACATAGCAAGACCTTGTCTCAGAAAAACCAAAAAACAACAACAGAAGAATCCAAAATGGCTCCTTGTGAAGTCCACATTGACTAATTACTCTGTAAACTAATTTGCTTTGTGAGTCAAAGACTCCTTGAGTCTTTATGAAGCACCTTTGTGTTCAGATGTTCGCAGTACAGGCAAGCTCACTACCTCATAAGGTAGCCTATTTCAAAATTCCAACAACCTGTGGAGTTAAAGCTCTCCTTATACTGAGCCAAATTGACCTCCTGTAGCTTTCCCAATTTGGTCTTAGATCTGCCCTCTGGAGAGACACAAAATAAAGCTAATCCCTTTACTAGACAGGTAATCTCTTTATGTGATTCTTTTAAAAGAAATTATGGTGACTCAGGCTACAATTCTATCAAGGATATAATAAACTGAATACCTTTCCACTCCTTCTCCTTTTAGTGGCAGAGCAGGCTTACATGAATCCATTTAATATGCTGGGCAGGGAAAATGCTCCCCCTGGCAGAAGTTGGTTCTTTAGCCCAGTTCAAGGTGCCAGCTGGTAGACTGCCCTGGAAAGTAAAAAATGGGTGAGTCCAGCAAGGGGAGATGCTAGTCAGATGGGTTCCCTTGGACTTTCCTCTTGATGCTATACACACCGCCTTCTCCTGGCTAACATGCACATTTGACCAAGATTCTCCATAGCCTGGGCCAGAGGTCACAAGTTCTCAATTTTTTGTGTGCATTAGAATCCTGAGTTTTCCACGGGGCCTACCTCTGAGAGTTTAATTTGGTAGAAATGAGGCAGGCCCAGTAATCCACAACTTAACAGGCATTCCAGGTACTGACGGCCTCACTATATTTTACATTTGAAGAAACACTGATCTAAGTGTTTTTTGGTGAACTGCCCAGTGTAAAAAAAAAAGACGAGAAAGAAAAAAACCAACTTGTGTTATTGTTTTATTTAATCGTAAAGCATATACACTTACATTTAACTTACTGATCTTATTCATTTAAAGTTTTTAATTCTATATTACATAAAAATAATACTTAAGTTATTATTCATTCATACCAATCATAAAGTCTATCAAAAATAATTCCAGGATGCGGAGATGAATAACACCACCTACAGGTTACAAACTGTTACATTGAAATGTTTATTGGGTTTTTTTTGGGGGGGGTTGGGGGTACTGGGATTGAACTCAGGACCTTGTGCTTACGAGGTAGGTGGCAAAACCACTGAGCTAAACCTCCAGCTTGAAGTCTTTATTGGGAAATGGTCAATATAGGACTTAAAAGGGAACCAGGCTCCTGAATTAAACCATGTCCCCTCTTTAAGGCTGTCCAGCAGGACAGGGCTTGGGGCTCAGGTTGAGGAATTCTATAAGGAGAGGATGTGTTGGCCCTACGATAGCTGATACACTGTAGAGCACATGTTGGTCCCACACTTAACTAATCTACCTTGTGACTGAAGTTAACACATAAATCATACCCACCTAAGCACCTTTACACATTTCCTAAGCAACTCCGTAGGAACTTTAATAAAGCTATAGATTCCAGGGCACAAGTTACAACAAGTTTTATAGTAGTCTAAATACCTTGAGAACAACAGCTTATAGGTGCTGTGGTTCTTTTATAAACATAAAGCATGTCTCATCTCTAACTCAGCCTTGAAGTAATGCTATCCCAAAACAGCCCTGGTCACTTTTATTCCTTGTGGCAAAGTAACCCTAAGCCCTACTCAATAGATTAATATTCAGTAGATTGAGTAAAAAACTTAGAAACAAATTAGAAAAAAGTTTTGGTTATAAGATCTTACTTTCCTGCTTAGACACTTTATATATGTTTTTTGCAAAATACAATTACTTTAAAATAGACAAGCATCTAACTTTCATTTTCTTTTAGAGATGAACCTTTTCACTGGTTCGCTGATCTTCGTCTTCTTCCTGGAACTTTCAGAACTTTGCTGACTGCACACAAAATTCATTCTTCTCATCTGTGAGAATTACCAGAGAAAGGCACAATTTAGCAAAGACTTTGACATCTGCACAAGACATCTAAAAGACAGGTAGACCAAGCACTAAATCCCTCAAGCTCATAACGGATCCAAACCTGCTTTTCCGTGGCTTGGTTTGGCCCTATACCAAGGCCCTGCTACCAGTATCAGATTCTGGTATTCCCAGGTTCAGGAGCTGAGGTCCACTGAAAACAGCCAATTCTGAGACAGTTTCTTGGCTCTCTCTAGTGAATTCAGCACATTCAACTCTTAAGGGAAGGATTGTCAAGGTGTGGGGCCAACAAGGAGCAGTTAAGGATCAGAAGAGATATGAATCACTTACTGCTTTAGAGGCAAACACAATTTAAGTCACAAGTGTAGTCAGCAGAATCATGTAGGCTTCTGTTTCCCATATGTTCAGATGCATGAATTAAGAAGACCCATAACCCTTCTACCAAAGAGAGGTGTTATTGATTCAAGTGAAGTTGATTAGTGAGTTATCACTAAACATCATTTCCATTGAGATCAGCTTTGGTAAGGATTTTAGAACTTATTTTGGCTTAACTAAGTAACAACTGGAAGCATTATAACCTATCAGGCAACCCCAAGATGCCCATAAGTCCAAGAAACACATATAGAGGACACATATTTTTCCAACCACTGGATGGGAGGAAAGGTTTTTCCATGTCTTCTGTTCTTTCCTTCGGAGGAAAATGGAATACAACTTATTTTAAGGCAAGACCTGCCGGAATATCCAGCAGAGGCTCCAACACCTAACCTTGTTTCTTTTCTAGTATGTTCATGTTGTTATAATTATTGATATAGGGCTAGGGATTTAGCTCAGTGGTTCCACCACCTGCCTCGCAAGTGCAAGGACCCGAGTTTGATCTCCGGTACCAAAACAAACAAATAAATAAAATAAAAAGGGTTAATTATTGATATAGTATTAGTACAAAATAGTACCAATATCAGAAAGCATTTAAATACCATGTAACATGATTTGTTATACAAATGGGTAAACACTATTTTATCTAGTTTTAAAAGCCGTTGAAATTTCTGATCAGAAAACCCACAAATTCCCTCTAGCCTAAATAAAGACACTGAATATATAAAGTAGTGAAACTTTGAGAAAATAAATAGAGCTGCTATCAAATACCTGGTTTGCTTATACATACAAAGTTTGAAATGGCCTGCTGTAAAGTAAAGGAGATCGCAACATGCAAACCCAAAACACATAAACAACTTCCTTATCTAGGAGGTGAATTTGTTATGGTTTGGTTATAGGAAAAAATACTTGGAAAATTAAGCTTGTCTAGAAATGCTGTCTGGACGTGCTTTCCGTTCCAACCAAGCTACTCTCCCTCTATCAAGTCTGGGAACATGTGAAACGGGAGAAGATGGTATACAAATTCTCAAATGACAAATTGGCTTGATGGTTTAATAGTTTTGTTCTAGTTTTCTTCTATTGTTCAAATAAGCCAGGATTTTATTACAAGTTGCAGAACTACAATTTTATTGCAGCGAGTCAAAATATCTTCAATAATGTATACAACCAGTGAGGCCTGGCAATTTTCAATGGTTTACAGAAAATTAGGGGGTTCAAAAGCAAATGTGTTATTAGGAGACATATTTATCCAACAAAGGAACGAACATTCAAGATACATTCTTCAGGTGTAGGTTAACTGGCTGAGTTTGCACGTTTGACGCCAAAGCCAACTCGCCGAGCACAGAGCCACCAATCGGGCAGACTAGACGGACGGTCTGGGTACTGTGAACAACACTACATGAGCATCAAGTGATTCCTAGTGCATTTCGTATCATATCTCAAACACAGCTTGTAGACAGTTTCTTCATGCAGACTTATAAGAAGCTAGAGTGATGCAATTACGACCAGAGCCTCTGGGCACAGGTGTGTCTGAAACAGCCCTGAAGATGCTTTCTGCCGTGCCACTCCAACTCTCTCTATTTTCAGTTTTTGGTTTTATAACATACTCTCCTTTGAAAAGCTCAAGAGCAGGCTTTTCCTTGAGCACAGACAGGATGGTTGGTTGATTCAGTAGCAGTACGTATTCATTTATTTATTTATTTGTTGGGGTATGAGGGATCAAACTCAGGACCTTGCGCTTGCCAGGCAGGCGCAGCGCGGCTGAGCTACATCCCTGGCCCTCAGTAGCAGTGTTTAGATAGCACCAGAAATTACCCCTCATAAATGTGCCTATTCGTCATTTATTCCTTTATTCATTCCCTTAAAAATGCTTTTGCTTGCATATTTTCCCAGAGTTCTGTTTCTAGCCGTCTCTTCATCCTTTTCTCTATACTTTGAGTGATCTCATCCATTCCTAGGAATCAATTACTAAGCAAAGACTCTCATATATACATATGCAATCTAGATCTGAATTCCACATCCATGTGTGTACCCAACTACCCACGAAAAGTCTCCACATGGGAGTTCCAAAGAACTCCAAAATGTCTTAATTGGAATTCATCATCTGCCTCTCCAAACCTGCTCCTAGTTTTTGTTCTCACTCACCCAGTGTGTCCTAGTTAAAAACCTGAAAGTAGTAACCAGGCATGGTGGCCACAAGCCTGTAATCCCAACACTTGGGAAGCTGAGGCAGGAGGATCACCATGAGTTGGGGGTCAGCTCAGTGAGGATTACACAGTGAGTTCCAGGTCAGTGTGAACTACATAGTGAGACCCTGTCTCAAAAAAACAAGAAACAAAAACAAAAGCAAAAAAGCAAACCAGAGAGTAATCTATGACCACTCCATCATTCTCATCCTGACACCCAATTAGTTGCTAAATCTTATTGATCCAACTTCCGTAGTATTTCTCAAATCTGTCCATTATTCTCTTTTCCCACTACCTCTACTTTACTGCAGGCCAACATCATCTCTTGCAAGCACTACTGCTGATTTTCTAATTCATTCTCCAATTTGGAGCACAAGTAGTCTCGCACAAGTAGATCTGACCACATCACTCTTCCGCCTCTTCATCCACCCATTACTGATGCCTCGTTGTCCTCAGGATGAAGTCCAGATGCTTTCTGGCCCTGACCCACCTCTGCAGCCTCATCTTACCCTCACACTACTTAGCTACTTGGAGATTTCCAAAGGGACCTTATTCTCTCTCCTTTGGATTTTGCCTGTGATGCTCACTTCCGTGCTCTCTTCTCTTCTTCATCCGGCCCGAGGACATCCAACAGTTTGTTTTGCCTGCTAGCTTTCCCCAACACTACTAAGGTTACGTTCTTTCTTACCTTTTCTGTAGTACTTACTACTGAACATTGTCATCAGGCCCACTTAACAGTCTCTTATCTTTAAGCTAAATTCCTCGAGGTTAGTGACAATTTTTTATTACCCCCCCTTTGCAGTGCTGGGATCCAATCCAGGGTGTTGCACATACTAAGGAAGAGCTGTACTGCTGAGCAACACCCCCAGCCCCTAGTAAAAATATTTTAATCATCTTTGAGTTCTCAGTTCCTAGCTCTTTGTTAGCTGAATCAACGAATGCATGCATAATTGAAGCTGATTTTTAGCCCAGTACTGTATGCTGGGTGCTAGGACCATATCTTTAGTAATACAAAGATGAGTAAGGCATAGTTTTTTCCAGGAGTAAGCCTTGTAAAGACAGGGAATCAAGCTCATGATTACAATACAGTGTAATACCAAAACAGACATTCTTTCCTGCCAGCTATGTGCATGGTAGGTACTTGGGATTTATCAGAAGGGAAAAAGATTAAAAAA